TTATGAATTTTCTCCTTAGAATCTTAGATTATCTGATATCTAACAAATTGATCAAAAGACACGGTTTACGTTTTTTAGACAAATGGTCCATTGGATTTTGGCAATTTGAAAATTGTGGAAACATGTAAAAATGTATAAAAGGTAGAAAGGGGGTTAAAGATTTGCTGGTTGAATGATAAACCACCAATATCTCAAAAACAAATAAAGTTAGAATTTTTTAAACAACAATGATTCAAAGTAGAGGGTAAAAAATGTGTATCATAAAATAAACGGCCATGTTTATAGATCTATAACAAAAGAATTTTCTTTCGTTGTTACTTTTTTTTGGTTGTGAGCACTGTTGTTTTGTTTATGAGTACTTAATATAATTTTTAAGTATGCATTTTTCAATTGTTTTATAAGATGTATGTTAATGTTAGATTCAATTGATATTCCTTTATAATTTTTGAATTGGAACACAAGTGGGTGAGGTAAAAAAGGCCAACTAAACTTACGCTAGAAAATAGTAAGTAAAAGAGTAAATTGGGTTAAAAAAAGCAATTTTACAAAAAATAAGTTGAATTAAGTTATTTTAATTCTGCAGGTGAATATTTCTCACAAAATACTAGATCAATATATACTGTGTTATTTTTGTAAAAAAAATGTGCCCAAGAAACTTATATTTTGCCTTAGTTGAACATTGTAGCTATTATTTTTAAAAATTTCTTTAAAATTGAAAATGAGACATTGAATCTCTTTGCTCTCTTGGCTGTTTTATTTTATCCCTTCTATGAGGTAAAAAAGCACAGATGACAAATTTTCGAAAAATACTAAAAAAACACATTTACGATATAATCACATTTCGTATATAATGAGGATTTTATATTTGTTATATGTGGTAATATAATGTAGGTTATTTGATTTTAGTCAATATAAATACTTAAGTTCAAATTGGACCTATGTGTATTGGAAAATCTTAAACGTATTTTGCTAAAATTAAATAATAAATTGCATTTACAATTTGAAGTGAGACATTTAAAAAAAGTCAATGAAGACTGAGCTAGTAATTCCGAACTTTGTCCATTTTTTTCTTTGAAAGTAATATTTTAGAGCAAACTTTATATTATATACCTGTTCTTCAAAGTGCTCATTTGTTTCTTCTAATACCAAGGAGTGTAGAATGTGTCCAGTGTATCTAGTCTGAAATGTTTCCCAATGTAAAAAATATATTTAAAATATATTTAATCACTTTTATGATTTAAAAATGCATACGTACTTCACATTTCAATTTTTCACATGGCGTGGCTATTAAAAATAACATTGCATAAGAATTTAAAAGCCATTTGGCCATCATAAGTGTAGAAGGACCCCAAGTATTATCTATCGATATCGATTTGTATAATTGATACATTTCTGATATTATGTTTTGGAACATAAATGCACAAACTATTAAAATTTGCGTTGCGAATATATCGTTTATCATTTTACTATAAATGTAAATTTTGTTACTTATGTTCATAGCATTAGATATGTGCACGTGGTTATAAAAATATTTATTCAAAAATGCAGTTTTATGCTTGGGATTATTTAAACTTTTTAAAAATTTATTTACTAGAACTGCACGTTGTTGGAGTAATAACAAAAAGTTGGAAAACTGTGATAGAAATAAAGCTATCATGAAAAATGTGTAATCAACGCATATAAACATTATAATAATATGAACCAAAATCCGATTTTGATATAATCGACAAATTATATGTATGGCTAGCAAACATATTGCCAATATAATTTCTCCTTTCGCGAACTTCTTAGTATTTTCATAAGAAACTGCAATGCCCATTTGGTTAAAAACTTTATCAATCATTTCGATACCATCAAAAATTTCACAAAATTTGAATCGATGCACATAAGTTACTAATAAAGCAAATAATGTTAGTATTACACCTATTCCGATTTCGATGAAATAATTTACTTGCAATGCTGCATCTTCATATTTGAGGAAAAAATTAAAAAACCATTGAGAGAAAGTTAAAACATTTGCTGATATAAGAATTGCAGCAATTAAACAACAATATAAAATGTAAAAAATGCCCCGTTGATATGCCACAAATTTTAATTGTGGTTTCTCCAATATTTGGATTGGACCTAACCCAAATAATTTATAAACGCAAAATATCGGTTTTATTGCTTTGAAGAATTCACTGTCTGTAGTCATCACTTAAAATTAGTTTTGTTCATCAGATAAACTTATATATCTTCTTCAATTATTATCATTAATTCTATTATTTTCTTTATATTCTATTATTTTGTTTATAAGTAAAAATCACACTAAACAAAGTTATTATTCATCAAGTTATGACAGATAATTCTTTATTCACGACACATAATTTAGTTCTTGGAAAATCGTAATGGATTATTTTTAATGACTAGTTGTTAAAATCACGATTTACAAGCACGTGCTGTTACTTTTCCTAATAATTATCACAACGTTTTCATATATATTGTCAATCGATAATTCATTACTTACTATAACAAATATAATATAATATGCACAAACTGTATTTCACTAATAACGAGACACAATTAGTAAAAATATTCTTGTTTTCTTATAAATAAATCAATCCATGACTTTGTTTCTGAAATAAATGTGAATGCGCATAAAACCTTCTTATAAGTAATAAAATTTAAAAAAGCAGTTTTTCTGAAATTTGGAAATATAAAATAATTTTATATTATAATATTAATAGTTTATTCTTTCTTGATAATTCTAATGTTTATTTTTTACAACTTTTGAAATCTTTCTCAAATATTTTATTTGAATAAAATTCATTTAAAAAAAATTGTAGAAAACTACTGCTTATTGAATAGGGTAAAGCAGGCACAAAAGTCCAATTTGGTTTTCAGAAATTATGCTGTCTAAACCAAATAAAATACATAAAAAAATAACATGTATAAAATAAAAAACTATCGAATTATGTTCATAAATTTCCAGACAATTCCTAATAATAAAAATGTGTTCTTTGTAAAATTTTCTATGATTTGCCGTCATTTCCCTTTTACTACCCCCATGGGATAAGAAAGAAACGTGGAGACAAATTGGGAACAAAAACCCAAAGTTTTAATTTTAATTTTAAATAATATGTATTCATTATTTAAAACAAAAAATTAAAAATTTGGTTTGTTTGTAATACCATGCCTTCACATAGTAAACACAATTGTAACAGTATTTAATTTTAAATTTGAGTTTGAGATGCCCTAAACTTGAATATATTTGAGTAGCAAAACTTAAAGGTTTGCGGGTAAAAAGCCACCAATTAAATAAAATTGTATCCATAAAAAAATAATTTTGCATTGGTTGAATATCATAGCTACTATTTCATAAAATTCTTTTATTAAAAATAAGACATTGGACCTGTTTGCCCGCTGGCAATATACTTTTACGGCGCCTTTGGGATAAACTATTTGGTATTGGTATTTTGCCTTGAGGCAAGTTACATAAACTTCCCAAAATGTATAAATAATAGACTTAATCAATGAAAAATAAATTAGTTTATGAGTGATTAAAAATATTCCGAGTGGATTTATTACACATAATTGAAAGCAAACGAACACGTTAACTCGGAGAATTTTCTAAAAGCAAATGTTCAAAAATCAATAAATTTTATAATTGAACCAATTTCCGTAGGACTGGTTTACTATGTTCAAGACCAAGCACTCTATCGTTACCAACTAAATCATCTAATTTTAATTTTAACAAACGTTAAAAAAACTACTCATTTTCTCAATCTTTGTTGAATTTTTAAAATTAAACTACTTGTCGTGAGGCCGTAATATTTCAGTAAGTTTTATAAGACCATATTATATATCGCCAAAAAAAGTTGCTTTGAAATCGGCTTAAATTACAAAAAACAGCTCGGTAGATTCAGTATCATTCCCAACTGATATCTTTCGAACTCTTTTTGATTTTTTAAAATCGATTCGGTAGTATGAGCTTAAATGTGGACGAAAAGCTTAACACTTTTTTTCAAATTACAAAGAAACGGCTCCGCAGATCGTTTGATCACTGCTCCGCAGATCACTGAGATACATCAAATAGCTTTTAAATTTCTGAAATCGGTTCAGGCGTTTTAAAGAAAACGTCGATCGAAAGTCTAATTTTGACAAATAACAAAAAAACGATACTAATTTTTGCAAACTTTGAAGAATTTTTAAAATTAAACGACTTGTCGTAGGGCCATAATATTTTAGTATGATCTATAAGACTATGGTATATACTGTCAAAAAAAGTCATAAAAATCGTCGAATTTTTTTTTTAACTCCCAACCAATAGCTTTCAAACGGTTTTTGAATTTTCAAAATCGATTCAGGATTGCGGGCTAAAACGCAGACAATTTTTTTTTACTTTTCTGCGATTTACAAAGAAACGGCTCGGCTGATCGTCGCGAAAAACTCAGAAACACTAGTCCTCATCAAGATACATCGAATGGCTAACCGTTTTTTAGAAAACGTCGATTAACGGCAAAAAATCTGTTCACATACATGCACACACATACTCACGCACATACTTTTTCCAAATTTGGTCTCATTCGATTCAGAATGGCTTGAAACGTCGAGAAAACATAAAATTAGCGAATCGGATTTTTTGATGAAAACATAAACTTCTCTTTAGGGAAGTTAAAAACCAATAGAAAAATTAAAAAAAAAAACAGCAAAAAAACAACATTCTATAATGATGAATGAGCTGGAAATTTTACTGAACATAGCACATCACTCAATAAGTCTGTGGGATTATTTTATTTATATTTGAGTATTAAATTTGGAATAATTCATAGTTGAAATGCAGACTTTTGTATTTCTATAATCTGCAATATGACATATATAGCGTATCATGGAAATATTAAAGTGCGTTTAAATCATCGCGTCACTCGAAACGCCAGTAAACGTCAACATCATAGAGATTAACCCATGTTTCACTAAACCAAGCAAACGAGAGCATACAATGCGACTTTTTTCATTTTCAGGCGCAAAACAACCAGAGAACTCCTAAGCTTAAGTTGCTCGGTAATGGGCATAGAATTTGCTTATGCGGCCGAGACAGCGTTTGTAACTCCGGCTCTACTTCAGATTGGAATTCCGCACAAATGCTTGTCTTTTGTCTGGGCACTATCACCATTTATCGGGTTCTTCGCAGGGCCACTACTTGGTTCCATGAGTGATCGATGCACATCATCTTATGGACGACGCAGACCATTCATTTTTGTGCTAGCGATTCTAATTGTTATAGGTAAGTAATAAAAAATATATTTCTATACTGAATATTGATATTTCATAAGAAATATTAAATTGATCAAAATCAGAAAAATTTTTAATAATTTGTTGGCAGTGCGGAAAGTCGCCGTGTTTGCGATTTATATATACTTCTTTTACCTATGATCATGGTTATAGTTATTGGCACTAATTATGTTTCATCAACAATATACTGTTTATCAATCGTTACAATCCAAATGAAACAAGGTAAAAACATTAAAAACTAGTGGTGTATGGCATTGGGCCATAAGGCAAATTGCTGGAACTTCTCGTACCGTAACAAAATGTTCGAGAAATTTTAAATGTTTTCAAATAGATTAGTATAGATACTGTTGAAATTATTTGTTTAAAGTATATTAGAACTTTAGTCCTTGTCAAAAACTAATCACCTCTTCTCCCGATCATTTAAAATTGAATGTTTTTCAACTTCGCGTGGGGCAAGTTATAGTAATCGCAAAAAAATCGAAAATGAAAACTTTTATACATGTTTTCGTTTCAAAGGTTTCTGAACATTTTAGCATACCTCAGAAAAATGGATGTATGTGTGTGTGTGCAGAAACAAATTTTTGTCGAGACTTTAGGAACATGAATCAACCGATTTGAATAATTCAAAAAACATTTGATTCATATTAATAAGGAGACGTGCTGAAGATACGGGACAAAAAGTGCCAAAAACAGTAAATTAAGAGAACGGGGCGTCCGATTTTAATAATTCAAAAAACATTTTACTTATATTGACAGGATAAAAAACTTATGAAATTTTTGGGAAGGCAGGTCTAGCGGTTATAAACTCTCAATAAAAATAAGTTAAAAATATGCCTTTTGACGGTCAATAATGATCATGATTTTCATAATGTGTACACATCTCGTGTATTTTTTTTGGGGTTCCGTACCAAGATTTTTAATTACGATACGGGAAGCTCCAGCAATTTGCCTTAAGACACGATGCCATGCACCCCACTAGTTAGATCATTCAAATCGGATACTCTTTTTCTCAAAAACTCGATTTGAATATTCTGCACTCTTTGCTCCGTATCTCCGTAACGGCTGGACCTGCCTTTGCCAAAAACTAATCAGCACATCTCCCTATCAATAGGAATCGAATGTTTTTTGAACCATTCAAATCGGTTGATCCGTGCGCCCGAAAACGTGGACGCTAAATGCGGACATACAAAATACACGCACACACACATGTTTAAAAACCTTCAAAACGTGAAGATATGCAAAAATTTTCTTTTTCGATTTTCGGCCCTTTACTATAACTATAATATGGAAAATTAATGAAATAATTGTTTTATTTCGCCCTCTTATGTATGTAACATAAGTAAACTTATTTAAGCTTTTGTTTAGAAGAGCTTAACAAAGATCAGCACCAAGACTTCATACGGGTTTTATTTCTATATTCAACAACATACGGATTAGTATAAAATCTCATGAGTTAATTGTTACCTAAAATATGAATTATGAATTATGAATAATTTTAAAATGTTATATGTACTTCAAAAAAATTTGGCAATATGTCAAATAAGAGCACAAAAATATAGCCGGATTAGTCTCACGTTGCCTTCGTCCTTATAACTTATATTATTAACTTAGAAACAATATCTGAAGATAACTTTGATGTTCAAAGTTTCATAGATATTCGTTTTATGTAGTTTTTATAGTCTTATTATCTTCACGAGGGAGTAGATTGTTTTCGTGAAAAAATCCAATTTACTAATTTTATGTTTTCTCGGCGTTTCAAGTCATTATGGTTCGAATGAGACTAAATTTGGAAGAACTATGTATGCAAGTGTCTGCATGAGACGACCAAAAACGGCTAGACCAATTTCAAAAATTTAAAAGTCATACGATGTAACTTGATTGCTACAATCGCTGGAGAATTTTGAAATCTGCTCAGCCCTTCTTTTGTAATTGGCAAAAAAAAAAGTAAAATTTTTCACTAACGTTTTAGGCCACAATCTTGATTCATTTTAAAAGAATTTAAAATGATTAAAGAAATATTGGTTGAGAATCATGTTGATTAGTTCATGCAACTTGTCTCAAGGCAAAATGCAGCTAACAACTAATTAAAACAGTATTTACATTATTATGCTACAGACAAATGACATCGCATCCAATATAACCTTACAACGTTATTGAATTGACTTGTGTTGTTAATGTGTTAATAGATTACTTTGAATTTATTTAAATTTTCTTACTTGACAGCATTTTTTTATTCCCAGGATTGTTGCTGCTACCGAATGGAGAAGTTTTGGGACACTTTTTAGGTGATGATTTTGAATATTTTAATCATACCAATTTTAAAGATATACATCCTCATCGAATAAGTGCATCTACAGCAGATGTAGAAGATCATTCGAATAAGATGGAGTCACATAAATGGGGAGTTATTTTGACGATACTAGGTACTGTTTTGTTAGATTTTGCATCGGATGCTTCACAAAGCCCGGCGAGGGCTTATCTGGTCGACATGTGTATTCCAGGTAATTGCATAAATATAATATATGGTAAGTTGAATTAAGGCTTATTTGTATTAAACTCAATATAAATTGAATTACATGAGAATAATATAATATTTAAATAAAAATAGTACAAAAAACATTAGAAAAATCAGAAAAATAAGAATTTTAAATTTACAAATTTATTATAATTTGCAGAAGATCACGCTAGAGGATTAAGCAGTTTTACCATACTCGCCGGTCTTGGAGGAACGTTTGGCTATTCATTGGGAGCAATAGATTGGGATTATACTTTTATCGGTATGTATCAACCAATGAATGGAGAATTTAATAGTGATTTGTTTTTAATTTTGATGGTTGGATGAAATTAAATAAATGGTTTAGGGTAGGGCGGGGCTAGTTGAGCAAATTTTTACTTAAACGGATGTAGCTCCTCAATGGAAAGTCTCAATAAATTGCTATACGGCTTAATGGATTTGTTGTTTATCGCTTAACAAAAGTGTTAATACTATTTTTTGGTAATAAATAGAATTTAAAAGCTACAGCTGTTTAAATGCAAAAAGTCAAGTATGCTCAATGTACCCCATAGGTGGGGCAAGTTAAGCACTAAGAAAGTATAATAAAATAATAGGTTCAATGTCGATTAGTAATGAAATAAAATAAGTTTTTAATAACCAGTCCTATATTTATAGTCTTTATTGACAGAGAAAACAAAACTTATAGTAATTTTCCTTGAATAATTAACCAAAAGTAGAAGCAACAAAACAATATCGTATCTTAGGAATTATTTTACCATTATATTTAGTATTTTTGTTTAAAATCATTATTTCTTTATATTATTACTCATAGACTTAGCTTAAATATTAAAAATAATAATTAATTTTTGGAAGTTAATGGTAAATGTCTTAGTGACAGAACAGGTTTAGCCACTATGCTTAACTAACCCCAACTAGGAACTTCAAAATAAAAGTGAGTTTATAAAAAAACCGTGATAATTATATTCAGAATCTCTGTGTATATTAAAAGTTATATAATTATATGGAAGAATAACATTTACCTGATTTAAAATAAATAACATTTGACTAAACCAGACGAAAACTCGTGATGAATGACTTTTTTACTTTTTTAGTCTCAAAATAAACAAAACGCCCGTGAGCCTCACTCATTTGTCCAGCGGCCACTAGCGATCGCGGGATGTTTATTTCTCCCAAACCTCTATCTTTCCGCCATATAATGCCTAAACGGACGGTGAATAGTTTTCGAGATATTTCGATTGCTCAACCTAATTATGAGAATATGTATACTGCAAGAAATAATCTTCGTCGGAAAAATTCATCAGCAGAGTTGGAATAACTATTTATTTAATTTACCTCTTATAAAATTGATTTTATTAACTTCATTTTCTGTTTTATCTACTATTTTTCATTGTTTGCATTTTTGCCAGAGTCATGGTTCAGTTGGTCCTTTTTACCCACCCAGGTGTAAACCTTTATAGAAGCTATATAAAGAAAACGGCAGAATCTAACCTAAAATTAATTTTACATGTTATAAAACAATTAAATAATATATACTTAAAAGATTTATGTTAAGTAAACTAAACAGTGCTGAAAACCAAAAACACTAACAAGAAGAAAAAAAAAGTTTTGTTACGGATTTTCAAACATTGCCGTAAATTTTCCGTTAGCGATATGGTAAGAATTTGGGAATGCAACTCCGGTATACCGAATTACCGGTAAACCGCCCAATTTTTCGGCGGTATTTTTACCGGTATTCACCCCAAAAATACCGGTATTTTCGGTATTTTTACATAAGCGCTATTTGATGCATAATACATAAAAGTTTAAATTTCTCGGAACAAATTTATCTTTAAATTCCATAATCGCATAAACAGCTATATCTTCAAGTGATTCTATAGGATAAACAAATGTCAAATATTATCTCAACTCGTCATTAAACTGTATATTTATTGCTTTACTAAGGGCTACATATCGTGTTACAATGAATAGAATTGGACTGATAGATAATGGTGTTTGTTTCATCTTATGTAAAAATGTAACAGTTTTTTAAGTGATATTTGCGCCAAAATATTTTATATCATACTGATTACCCCTGCGTAATCTTTATTTTTTTTCTTACTTTATAGATAATAATTATGATAATTACTAAATATTTTTGCTTTTTAATACAATCATAAAACATTATTTTTCGAAAACGTTTCGAAGTTTGAAAATACTATAGAAGCATCACACTGTTTTAAATAACAATACTCAACAATTATAGTAAATTATTATTTATCTCGACAAAGTATCGGATAAAGACAATACAGTTTATTATAATAAAGTAATATGATCTTTTATGAGTTTTTGGTCTTTTTTACTCATAAGTTTGTTTTTGGTGATGAGTACTCAATATGCTTTATAATTATTTAAATTGTATATAATTTTGTTAGATTATTATTTAAAAAAATTAAATTAATTGTTTAATTGAATATTGTTGTAGTTGTATATACATTTTTTTATATTTGTACTAGTAACGTTCAATTTTGTTTACGTTTGCTTAAGATAATAAAAATACCGGTAATTTACCGTTATTCCGGTTTTAAAATGAAAAATTACCGAAATACCGGTATTGAAATTTTCCATCGGTATTGCATTCCCTAGTAAGAATCAAGGTGATGGCTGCTTATACATGGTTTTCTTTCTACTTTTTTATCCGTGGACCGATAGGCCCCTCTTCTACCGTATTATTTTTATTCATGTTGTGAGCGTAACTGGCAATTATGATAAACTTGTAAATAAAAAAAATTAAATAAATTATTTTCAATTATTTTAGGTGAAATGCTAGGTGGACACATGAACGCGGTTTTCACACTAGTTGCAATCATATTTATTCTCTGTGTTTTCACTACATTAACCAGTTTCAAAGAAATTCCACTTGACGAATTACAGAGTGTTATAGAAATGAACAAGAAGAGTCAAATAGCAACTGGGCCTTTTGACAACATTGAAAATCAATTTAGTATTTCTGAAAAACCAATAAACCTGGAAAATATATCAGTTTATGGAACGCTAAATGAAAAAGTAACTGAGGTAAGTTTGTGAATTTTGTAGAAATCTAAACAGGTTTCTAAAAGAAATGATAATAACAATTTAATAAAACATGATCTTAACCGAATTAAAACATTATATATGAAAGCGTTGTATTTGCAAAATGAATTGTATGTCGATATAATCTTAAAAAACTATAGCAGATTATCAAATTTAAACAATTTTTTCATTCATGTTAGTTGTTTCTGATAAATTGTTTAAATATTACACTTTATTAAAAAATGAACATGCGCCTAGTATTTTCTAAAAGCGCGGTCGATAAAACCAAACTTTAGTTAATTTTCATAATGTAACAACTTGTCTTAGGTTTCTAATACCTTGGTATGTTCATTAAGGTCAGTAACACTGTTTCACATATAAGTTTCTCTAAAATTGCCATAAAAATATTTCTTTGACAATCAATTACAAAGAAACGACTCGACCAATTATTGTCAAAAACTAATCAACACGATTCCCAAATGCTGTCTTCCGAATAGTTTTGCAATTTTCAAAAACAGTTCAGATTTATTTACAAAAAGTTGGACGAAAAAACTTCCACCTTTTTGCTAATTTTATAAAAGTTCATGTAACTTGCCTCAAGGCTAAATACCAAACCAACTAATTAAAATTAAACTAATCGCAAGGCCGCAATATATATATATATATATATATATATATATATATCGCTAAAAAAAGTAATATTTTAGTAAGTTGTATAAGACCATAGTATATATCGCTAAAAAGAGTTCTAAGAAAATCGGCTTAATTTTTTTTTTCAACAGTTAATTACAAAAAAACAGCTCAGCAGATTTTCACCTAAAACTAGTCAGTATCATTTCCAACTAATATCTTTCGAACAGTCTTTGATTTTTTTAAATCGATTCGGTAGTATAAGCTTAAATGTCGATAAAAAGATTAACGCTTTGTTCAAAATTACAAAGAAACGGCTCGGCAGATCGTCGCACAAAATTGATAACGCTGTTCACATACACACATACTTTTTCCCAAAATTTGGTCTCATTCGATTCAGAATGGCTTGAAACGTCGAGAAAACATAAAATTAGCGAATCGGATTTTTTATGAAAACTTAAACTTCTCCTTCGGGAAGTTAATAAATAATGTAATAGACATGTATCTAATTATTCTATATGTGGTTTAGGAAACCGTGGTACATCAAAGGACATCAGCTAATTCGACCTTAAGTAAAAGTCCATCAACGTGCGATTCGCATGTTGCTCTTGAAGAACACATGCCCTTATCGCATTACTTAAAAACAATATTCAAGTTGCCAAAATCTATACGAATGATCTGCGTAACGAATTTATTCTGCTGGATGGCTCACGTCTGTTACTCGCTCTATTTCACTGATTTTGTTGGAGAAGCTGTTTTTCATGGAGATCCAAAGGTAAATAGGCCAAATCAAATTAAAAATCAGTTATAAAATTTATACATAAATACTGCCAAGCACAAATACCTATGTTCTGAAAAATCTTTTGCATATAATTATAATTATTAATATATATTCATAATGCAATTATGTATTTTATTTCATCACAAGGCGCCTCCAGGTTCCGAGAGCAGAGCACGATTTGAACAAGGTGTCAGGTTTGGATGTTGGGGAATGGCTGCTTATTCATTGAGTTGTTCTTTCTACTCAATAATTATTTCAAAACTCATAAAAAGATACAGGTACATCAGTGTGCGTTTCAAATTTTTTATGATATGATATTATAACTCTAATTAATTATATTCAATATCTAGGGTAAGACTGTTTAAGAGGGGATTCTAGTGTAGAGATATGAATTTTAGATCATTTTTAAATCATTTTTTATTTTCTATCAACATTAAAATTTGGGGATGAGTCTAGTATATACCAGAGAGGAGTCTATAAATAAGATTCTCTTAAAATTTCAATCGGTCCAGTAAAACTCGATAAATAGTGCAGTAAACGGAGAGGAAAAAGGGGTATAACCTCTGATTTTTTTTACTGTGCTCCGAATTGAATGAAATTTTGGAATTAGGTTCCTTACCCTCAAATTCAAAAGTAAAAACAATTTGAGTTGCGCCATCACCCCCCGGGGGGATGACACCCCTTCTCAATTGTGTAATTATATTTTTTCAAAATAACGTCGGTAATCGATAGAAAAACTAAAAAAAAAGTTTTTATAAAATCGTGAGTTTTCTGAAAATAGTTCGTACTAAAATAGTGAATCTGCTAGAAGCATAAAATCTATAATGAAGTGAATTCTAGATGAAATGTGAATTACTAATTCTGGTGGAAATGGTGCTCATTAAACCATATGATTTAAAAAAAAAACTTTGTATATGCTTCTTATTTGCATGATAGTTCACTCATTTTATACGCAAAAAACTTGTAACAGCACTCATTTTAGAGCTTATATTGAGCACTATAAAACCCAATTTCACCGAAATGCATAAAATGTAAATCCTCGCCACTTGATAGCTGTAAATACAACAATTAAATCTTGGACAAAATAAAAAACGAATTTGCTCTTTCAAATCTTGCTTAATATTATTCCTAGAACACTTTATGTAATACCGATTTATTAAGATTTTTATTGACACTATTTTGTTCATTACATGATCATCGTTAAAATATTTATTTTAGGAGATATTTGCAAAAAAAAAAACGAAGAAAAACGCCAAAAATATATGAATCTTTAGTAACTTGAAAAGTATTAGTTTTTGTGAAAAACTATAAAAAACACTTTTTTCTTATAATTAGTTTTTCTATCGATTACCGACGTTATTTTGAAAAAATATAATTACACAATTGAGAAGGGGTGTCATCCCCCCGGGGGGTGATGGCACAACTCGAATTGTTTTCACTTTTGAACTTGAGGGTAAGATGAACCTAATTCCAAAATTTCAATCAATTCGGAGCACAGTAAAAAAATTTAGACCTAAAACGCTCCGTTTACTGCACTAAAATTGATAATTTGATGTTGAAAATTAATTTATCCAAGTTCTAATTTCAAAGAATTATATATCTCTCACCAATTACAGTTTTGCTTTTAATAATAATCTTATCAATAATATTTTTTCCACTTTTCAGATCTAAGAAAGTATATGTTGGTGGAGTATTAGTTTACAGTGCAGGAATGCTGATGATGGCTATTTTTAAAAACCGTTTCGTTGTGATTGTTCTAAGTGGCGCAGCAGGAATTATGTATTCAACTTTGTTCACAATGCCATATTTGCTAATTGCAAAATATCATGACAAAAACGCCGTAAGTAAAAATCTATTGTAGATTGAATTTGTATAACAAAAATTTTTTAACGTATTCTTTTAAATGGGGAATGATGTGAAGAATATATTAAATTTAGATCCTAATTTCAAATTTGAAAACCCTCATTGATTATCTACATACATTTATACCCAACAAAGATGTTAAGTTAGATGTTATGTTAGAGAAAAACCTAAAGAAGATAATACTTTATATTACTGACTTTCATTTTTACTCGAGATGAAGTATTTAAACTAGTTGGTCTTGGTAATTTGCCTTGAGACAAGTTACATGAACTTCCAGATATGTGCAAATAATCGACTCAATCAATAAAAAATTAATTAATTTACGAGTGATTAAAAGTATTCCGGGTGAATTTATTACACATTATTGAAAACGAACGAACACGTTAATCGGAGTATTTTCTAAAAGCAAATTTTTAAAAATCAATAATTTTTATAATTAATCCAGTTTTCGTAGGACTTTAATAGTTCAGTATGTTTATTAAGACCAAGTACTCAATTGTTATACCAAGTAAATCGTCTAATTTTAATTTTAACAAACGTCAAAAAAACTACTCATTTTCTCAAACTTTGATGAATTTTTAAAATTAAACTACTTGTAAGGCCGCAATATTTCAGTAAGTTCTATAAGACCATGATATATATCGCCAAAAAAGGGTTCTATAAAAATCGGCTCAAATTTTTTTTAACAGTTAATTGCAAGAAAACGGCTCGGTAGATTTTCATCTAAAACTAATCATTATCATTCCCAACTAATATCTTTCGAACAGTTTTTGATTTTTTAAATTCGATTTGGGAGTATGATCTTAAATGTGGACGAAAAGTTTAACACTTTTTTCCAAACTACAATGAAACGGCTCGGCAGATTCAAGCGTTTTTGAGCAAATGTCGATGAAAGGTCTAGTTTTGACAAAAGCCAAAAAAACGATACCAATTTTTGCAGACTTTGACGAATTTTTAGAGTTGTCGTAGGGCCGTAATATTTTAGTATGATCTATAAGACTATGGTATCTACGGTGCAGCCATTTTTCAAAAAAACATCGAAGGAAGTCAGAAATCAGCTCAAATATAAGCACACCCACATACTTTTTCCCAGTTTGGTCTCAAACGATGAATATTTCGAAACTTTGAGAAAATATAAAGTTAGTCGTATTTTTAATGAAAACATTAACTTTAGAGAAGTTAGAAATTAAATTGCTTGCTGAACTCAATGAAACCTTATATAAGATTTTATGCCTAAAGATATTTTTTATAATTGATATTTCTTATTATTAACTAATGTGCTTTGTCTAATTATGGTTATTTTGCAGTTTGAAACAAATGAACAAGGTGAGCCAATTGAAACGGGTCAAAAACGAGGACTAGGAACCGACATTGCATTAGCAGGAAGCATGGTTTTCATAGCCCAATTAGTTCTTTCTCTGTGTGTTGGTTTTCTGGTAAATTTAGCTGGCACTACAACTATTGTTATAGCTGCAGCTAGCGTATTAGCTTCTTGTGGAGCAATATTTGCAGCAAATATAATGTTTCTTGATTAATTTCTTTGAAACCCTAAATGCAACAGATATTTATGAAACAAATTGATGCATCAATTATATTGGTGGGGTAGAGCGGGGCACAAAGGTCCAATTTGACTTTGAGCACTTATATTGTAAAAACCAAACCAATTATATCTCAAAATAACATATCAAACAAACGATTTAAGCGATGCAAATTATAAATTTCATTTATACAGAAGATAACACTGTATACAACCTTGATATGGTATTACGTCAGAAATAATTATCAGCAGAGTTGGAATAACTATTTATTTAACTTATATCTTGTAAACTTACTATTTTAATCTAATTTACTTTTTTATTTACTATTTATTATAGTTTAAACATTTTCCAGGTTAAAGGCTGAAATGTTTTTTTTCAAACCCACCCACATATAAGCTTTTATGAAGGTTATATAAAAAAAACTATTGAATCTTACTTTAAAATAACAAAACATTTCATAAAACAATTAAAAAACGTATTGATAAAAATTATATTAAGGTCTTTTAAACTAAACACTGTTTAGTAGTGCTCACGACCAAACAAGGTAACAAATACTTTTGTAATGGATTTTCAAACATTGCCGTTTGAACTTTTATCTCCCGATAGCGATGTCCTAAGAATCAAGATGTTTGCTAGTTATTCATTTTTTTTCCTCTACTTTCAAATATTGTTGTTAAAATATTCTTCACTTTACTTATTTTTGAAATATCGGTAGTGGACCTCGTCACCCCCGGACCTTTAAGCCCTACTCTACCCTATACTTGCATTTATTGATTAAAAACTATTCTGCAAAACTCCACATTGTAATGTAAAACTACTTATAAATCAAGCTATTATCATGATAACAGCTGTATATGCATATACAAGAGTAATTCTTTTAGTTTGGCATTATATTTAAATAGCTTATTGATGAAGAAACATATATTATTTTCTAGACTCTTTGAATAAAAGACTTGAAGTTGTATCAATATCATCTTAACTAGGTATAAAACTATTAAAAAAAAAATATTAATATAAAATTTTGAGACCTTCTGAGCGTGCTATGAAAAAGTTATGACACAATTGAAAAGGGTTTATTAAAACATTTTACTTGTTAATTATTATAGTACTCTAAAGAACAAGTTCGAATCCTTATAGTTGGACTTATTAATTTATTAATATATATATATAGTTTATGAAGAACATTTTTCTAAGAAATCATTTTTACAAATCGTTCTATTATTTACTTATTTTCCGAATTTTAGTATATTTTTTTAAATTTAATTTTTGTGTAATTAAAAAAAACATTAATTATAAAGTACAATACAATATAGCGTAGTCAATAATATTTTTATGTTTATAAAAAAGTATATTTTTTAATTTCTTTACAAATTTATAATTGTTCAATTACATTTCTTCAAAATATTATTTGCTTTTTCCTTTAAAATGATTGTATTACAAATGATCTAAAATAATCAATAGTCTCCCTACTTTTGTAAAATGATTTAAACTGTTAAAGGTTTTTAAATAAATAAAATATAGATTATAGACAAATCTAATGTAAATTCATAAAAGTTGCATGGTAAATTCAGAATTGTATATTTTCGAATAATAATTAATGACAATAAAAGTATTTAGTCCAGCATAATTATATTTTCTTTACAGGAAATATTTTGATGTGAAAACTTTGTTATAATATAAGTATGTTATAATAATAGTCAGAGAATTTATGCATATCCTTTTAATTGGGGAATATGTGTTGAGTGAAACACATCTGATTTATTAACATTGCCCATAATTGTAGATACATCTCTACTATAGACAACTATTGACAGATTTGTCCATAGCGAAAAATGGTTTTATATGATGTTCATCAATATATAAAAAGAGACAAATTAATTACATATACTGAATCATTTATAAAAACCACACCCAGTATGCATTGGCGATGTATCGTGTCTGCAAATGCGCAAACCATCTCTTTTATAAAGGTCTTAGGTCTCAGGTTAGAGGTAAAGCCAAAAACAACTTGTTTTTACTAAGAATAAAATCCATTCATCCTATATTTATAACTACAGTTAACCCTCTGTTAACACGGCACTCTGGATATACAGTTCCCATACTACGCGGAGCTAAAAATCCGACATTCCTTCGACTACACGGACTTCCTATTACACGGTTTTTGTTGAACAGCCCATAAGTTCCTTGCGCAACCTATGAGTGATTCTAGTAACTTGATATCAAAAGGGTATTATTGTAAGTTTTGTTATCGACTTTTATCTTTTAGACATGCCTGATTATATAATAGCTGTCTAAGAACACGTTTGAGCTATCTATTGCGTCGCGCCAATTTTTGAATAAGGTGTCTATGTTACACATATCATTCGTCCTACTTCAAGTTGTATTCCTTGGACTCCATACAGCATTTGTACTAACTCTGAGTCTCTCATAGCGCGGTTCCCATACTGCACTATATAAGTTTCCATAACACTACGAATTAGCCTAAATTGTATGTTAAATACAAGTTTTTTATAGCACGGTTTCCATACTGCACGACACGCACTTGCCGCGTTAACCGAGGGTTGACTGTGTATAGATTACTCATATTTAATACGAATACGCACAGAAAGTAGGCAGCAATTTTTTAACTATGCCGCCATTTTTTCCCATCGCAATACCGTTTGGTCTCCACCATTTGTTACCCGTATCAAGCCTTCTGGGTTGACCCTAACAAACCAGAGCCCTGATAAAAGTATCACTATGGGTGCATAAATGGAACAAGTGCGTTGGATAAGGAAAGGAAAAGGAATTAAATAAAAAGAAGTAACTTGAGGTCAGATCTGATGAGTAAAGTGGATGGTCAAGGAGTTTCAGTCGTAACTGGAGAATTTTAATAACAGCAAAGACAATGGCGCGTTGTCATGGTGAAACTGGATTTTCTATTACTGCAAATGTGGTCATTTTCCGCAATTTATGCCTTTAGTTCGTCAAGTAATGATGCGTAGTAGGCTTCCGTATTGGTTCATTCTTTTTGAAGATAATCGATTAAAATAATTCCATAACTATCCCAAAATGCAAAAGACATCACACTCCCAGCCGAAATAACTTTTTATGTTCTTTTTGCAGCTGTTTTCCACTATGAAGTCCACTGTTTTGACAGTAGTTTTGTTTTAGGCGTGTAATGGTGAATCCAAGATTCATCTACAGTAATTAATCGGCCCCAAAACTCAGATCTATTAGTCTAAATATCGTTGAAAATGTTTATTCGAACCTGGCTTTGGCCTAACGTGAGCAAACGCGGCAGCCAATGCGCGGCCGGCTTTCTCATGAGTAAATTTCCCTTTAAGATGTAACAAATACATTTTCATTCACCAGCTTTTATTGACGAGCGGCTCCTTTTTCGTGTTGAGGTCGGAAACTCTTCAGCGCATCCTCGTACATAATAACGTATTCGTCTAATTTAAAAGCTCTTATATTTTGTACACAAAATACTGCAATGCTACAGTATTCATAATAATATATTTGAAAACATTTAAAACAATTGTTGTCAATCATTAATCAATTTTTGTTGATTATTATTTATTTTTATACTTCGAATGTTTAATTACTCGAATGTTCCGAGAAGTTCCAGCAATTTGCTTTAAGGCACAATGCCATGCATGACTACTTTTATTCTTTAATAACACAGTATCATACAAAACCACTTAAAAATTTGACATTGAAAAATATTAAAAATGATATCATGCAATTGTGGCATAGTGAAAAGTGAAAAATTAGAGGATGTAAAGTATACAAGAGCTGTTTCGTAGAGTATAAAATCAAACCTTTCAACAAAATCAAGTAACATGTCAATAATCAATAAAAAGAAACAATAAATTTTGGAATCATCCATATATGTATATTCAACGAGATTTATTCTCTTATACATAATTTGCATTTGAAAGTGTTAAATTACTAGTTGTGGTTTTGATTTTCAAGTTCACGCTTTATTCATCTGCTCTATGGCCTGTCACATTTCAGCACAAATGTTGTTACATAAAAAATTATTTTGTACTCTTACAATAAATTTATTGTAAGAGTACAAAATACGGCCCTAAAAGAACACTTAAAAATCATAAATTTTTGCTTCACAGGCAATTAACAGAAGCAAAAACCTTAATATTTGGTTATTTTCAATAATAAATTTGCAATTGCCACGTTTATCAACACCCTGGGATGTGATTTTAATCATCGTATAGATACTTCCACACCGATTCCACATTGACAGACCGATTTTTCTATGAAAATTAAGACTTGTGATCAAACGTCATACAAAATACAAAATCAATTACTTATTTGAGAATGAGTATATAATTGCAATAATTTAAATTGATGAATAGCTAATTCTATTTGTTCATATATTTGGAGTGTATCTTTGATATAATTTAAATACTAATCTTAAAGCTGTGTATCTCCATTATATATCAGTACTTAGCATATGAGAGTAATATTTCCGCTATCACTTCCGAGCAAAAGCAATCTGTTCAAAGGTAATGTTACCAATGAGGTTAGCGCGCCCTTAAATGCTTCCGATCTGAGACGATGAACTGCCATGGGTTGCCCATCACTTGAATTTGCATCGCCACATCCGCCAACGTTTGACAATTCATCAGAAGCCATAACAGATGAAATGTTGGTTGAGTCTGAGGCTGCCAAATAAGCAGAATGAACTGCCAGACGGTTGGCAGTTGTTCCTGAAACGACGCGACCGCTCATTCCAATCGGAGCTAGCAAATGAGCAGGTTCTGTGTGGCCTCTGAAAATTAAATAATGAAAACAGATTGTAAAAAGAAAATACAACTAGTTGGTATTGGTATTTTGCCTTGAGGCAAGTTACATGAACTTCTCGATATGTGTAAATAATCGACTTAATCAATAAAATATAAATTAATTTATGAGTTATTAAAATTATTCCGAGTGCATTTATTACACATAATTGAAAACGAACGAACACGTTAACTCGGAGTATTATCTAAAAGCCAATTTTCAAAGATCAATATAATTTTTATAATTGAACCAGTTTCCGTCGGACTTTAATAGCTTAGTAAGATCGTTAGGACCAAATACTCTATCGTCATGCCAAGTATTTTATTTTAATTAACTTCCCGTAGGGTAAGTTATTGTAATGGGCCGAAAATCGGA